AGCAGATTGTGAACAATCTGGCTTGAGCCTTTTGACGGCCATACAGTACACAAAACAGTTCATTTGCATACTGCCGGCATGAAAACCAAAAAATCAATTCTGCAATCAAGGGCCAATGTTTCCCCTAAAATGAAAAACAGAGCATTTCCTGTGAATGATACCTCTGTGTGGAATAACGCTGCATATCTTCCAGGCTTTTTTTTTCTTTGTGGATCCAGTGCAAGCGATAGTTTGTGCATTAATACCATCATAGGCATTGTTGTGGGAAAATCAAAGCTTGTCATCTGGGGCTTTTTAATGAGAACAAAATTCGCTACAACGGTTTTAAACACTGCGTAGTTGCCAATGCAGATGGCCTAACCCTCATTACTATTCATAGCACTTGCATGTGTCATTTTCTGATCTAATTATGACCAGCCTGACGGCAATAGCCAAAGTTAACAGGCTCTGGATATTTTCTCTGTAGGAAATACATGACAAATGTTTAAACTGCAGAAACACGACTATCTTTATGAATCACCAGAGCATATTATTCAAGTGCAAACTGTACTATAGCATCAGATTAGGGCTCTTTGCTGTTAAGTGTAGCTTTGATGGCTGAGAAAAATTATGAAATGTTGTGCAGTAAGTTATTTAAGCTGCAAAAGATAGAGGGAGGGATTCACAAAGAAGGAATTGTGCCCACTGATAACACAATTTATTTACATGTGCTGTCTACATTGTTTTTGCACTTGATTCAGGCCATGCAAATCAAGTAACGGCCCAATTGCAGCCACAAAATCAATGCTGATTGGCTTGGTTCTGAGTTCTAGATTAGGGAGGATCAGTGGTGTAACTGTTAACTAAAACTAAAGCTATTACACATTGTTTTGTTAATTGAAATAAAGCTGAAATAAAATAAAAATTTTAGATGATAAACTTAAACTTTTCAAAATTTACAAAAATTACAAATGGTATAATAAGAGAACTGATTCCTCTTTGTCAGTTCATGATAAACCTATGATGAACATGCTGTGTCCGTTTATATTACACAAACAGACGGAACATGCTGTGTCCGTTTATATTACACAAACAGACGGAACATGCTGTGTCCGTTTACACTTACACAAAGTATGAATAAATGCGTATGTTAATACATTTATGAAAAAATAACGCATGACTCATGTAGGCAAAACCCACCGACCACGCCTTTCAACCCGAACCTAAAGGGGAATCGAAGGAGGAGAAGGCGGTTGGCTCCAGCCCCAGAGCTCACTCCAGTGTCAGCTCCAGACCCTGAGTCTGCTCCAGTGTTGGCTCCAGCCCCTGAGTTCGTTCCTGTGCCTGCTCCTCCAGAGCACCCTCCAGTGCCGGGGGGGGGTTAGTATGGGTCCATCCGTAGTGGCCAGGCCGAGTGGCGAGGCCAAGGCCACAGAGGCGATCCGGCCATGGTGTTCTGAGTTCTCTTCTCTGCCGTGGCCTTCTGAGTTCCCTACTCCGCCATGGCTTCCTAGTCTGCCTGCTCCGCCATGGCTTCCTAGTCTGCCTGCTCCATGGTGCACCGAACTGCCTGATCCACCATGGCTCCCCGAGCTGCCTGCTCCGCCATGGCTTCCAGAGCTCCCTGCTTCGCCATGGCCCCTGAGCTCCCTGTGCCGCCATGGCACCCTGGACTGCCTGATCCGCCCTGGAGGTATTCCCCGTGTCCCAGTCCTGCACCAGCCTCCAGGGCGCCCCCTGGACTTTTTAAATAAAGTCTGTGATAATTCTGGAATCTCCTTTGTCTCCTCGCTCCTTCACAGTAGGCATACCGTGACAATATGTACACAAACATCCCTTTTAAATAAAATTGTTTACCGTCTGCTTTCTTTGGGCAGTAACAGCACAAGAGTTTTGTGAATAAAGCGCAATGAATCAGACTTAATTTGCACAAAAAGAGGCGTATTTGTGGTTAACAAAATGACAGTGACTTAATTAAAATATTCACGGTGCAGTGCTATTTCTGTGCATTTATCGCCTGGTTAAACTACATTGCGGGTGGTTATTGAATAAGACAATGGTTTTTAATGAATAAGGATTTTGCGCCTCATGCATCATAACCATTAAGTGAATTTACCCTTAGAGAGTTTGCATATGCACTTCAGTTGTTTGAAGGCTGTACTGCATTGCTAAATGGATTCTTATGTTGTTCCCTTTAGATCTTCAGCAAACTGTTGCTGCAAAAGTTAATTTAGTTAATTATAAGTAAAAAAAAAAAAACTCCTGACGCCCAGGTCCCAGCCAACACCCAGATGTACATTACCACTGAATTTTATTGAGACATTATTGCTCATCTCATACAAGGCTGTAATCTGTCACATCTGTCATTTAAGAGTATTCCCTCTCCCTCATTCCCTCTAAAATCTCTGTCACGCTCTTAATTATGAATGTGGACTGAGCAATCGCTCTCTCTCTTCACTATTAAGATTCCCTTCCTCCACTTCCTCTTCCTCTCTTTCTCCTCCTCCTCAACTCTGTCTAATCCTCTCTTCTCCTTAGCTCCTCCTCTCAGAACCGCAGGCTGATTACCCAGTTTTGGCAGCAAGTGAGAGTGAATTATTTAAATCTCTGTTAAGCCTGAGAACGTACATCTGTGTGAGAAATACAGTAGATCACACACCAGGGTCGAGGTCAATTCTAATTTAAATTGCAAGTAAAATCCAATTCAAACCACATCAGTAGTAGAGCTGACAATGACACAGAATGTCTTCAATGTTCTTAAGCATTGGAAATGGAGGGGGATATATTTGCAGAAATGTTGCACTATGAAATTTAAATTAAAATAAGATCCTGATTTTATATTATATACTTATATTATACTTATATTATATAGTTATATATTATATACTTATATGTGACCCTGGACCACAAAACCAGTCTTAAAGGAACACTTCACTATTTTTGAAAAAAGCTCATTTTCCAACTCCCCTAGAGTTAAACAGTTGAACGATTCCAGATTTTCAAATAGCTGTATCTCGGCCAAATATTGTCCTATCTTAACAAACCATACATCAATGGAAAGCTTATTTATTCAGCTTTCCGATGATGTATAAATCTCAATTTCGTAAAATTGACCCTTATGACTGGTTTTGTGGTCCAGGGTCACATATTAGGTACATTTAGATTTTTAGTAAGGTTAGAACATTCACATTCATGTGAATGAATATACAGTATATATAGATGCTGTGTTTTCTTTTTGGCCTTTATCTGCTTGGTCTTGTGCAACTTAATTATTTAATATACAAATATTCCATCTCTCATGAAAATTGCATGATTTATAATTATAGATTTTGAACTGTCATCTGTTTATGTCTTTAAGGCAGATGGGATAGGCATGGAATGAGATCTATCAAAGCCCTGGAGTTGCATGGAAATCATTGTTCATGGCCTGTATATAATTATTATTAACTATATAATTATTGAAAATATTTACATTTGTTATTGAAACCATGTTTCTTTTTTACGTTTTAGAAAACGCACTGCAATTATCATGTGGTGTTGTTTTAATATTGATTATTCTTTAACCATTTAATTTCTTTTCTTAAACCATTTATCCAGCAGAAGGAGCAAGTTGAAAACACATTATTATTATTATTATTATTATTATTATTATTATAAATTAGTAGTAGTAGTAGTCATCAGAATTATCACTTATGCACTTGAAAATGAACATGTTGTTATTTGTTTTATCGGAATGCATACAATCTAAATTTAGGTACTCACTCTTTTACTGAAAAAAAAATGTCCCTGGACACGTCTTTATCCTATAGGTGCCCCTGACCTTTCTTTAAAAACCGTCACCCCATTGTCTTCTGCCTTCACTGAATTTCCATCTAAATTCATGAAATCTCCTACTAAGATATTGTGGTTACTGTGGGCTTTTCCCCCAAACAGCAGAGGACTGCATTGTTTGACCATGTCTTTTCTATCAAACACAGAAAATCAAGAATAGAAATGGACTACAACTAGATGTTGACCATGGGGTTTGCACCTCAGGTGATCTTGGCTGTGATTAAAAAGGCAGATGTGGGACTGTCAGAATTTTTGATGGGCTGCATTCACTCCATCTTCATAGAAAGTACATGAAATGCATTTCTGGATTATAGGTAAGCAGACAAAATGATCTGAGCCCTGTAGCTGATTCAAAAAATGGTTCACAGGAAGCCTGTGTTTCATGGGGCCATTCTGTCTGTCATTTCTGTGTCAATCTAGTCTGTCTGTCTGCCTTCTGATGGAATTTAATTAAAACATACAATTTAGAGATTTACCACTAGTTAAAAAAAAAAACTTATAAGTATCTTTTTTTTTTTCAAAATTCAGTGTTAGAATTACTTGAGAACGTTTTTCCAAAATAAAATATGAAATGTTTTTTTTTCCTGTATAACAAAGTCACAGTGTCCCAAACTGACATACAATTTGAATATAATTTATAATTTAAGAAGCCATGTTTTATTTTTTTAAACACTGTATATGCACTACTGCATTATGGATGAGTAAAGTTGTTTTATGAAACAGTAATCATGTGATCAATTTCCTTGCCTGCCAACTCGAGGGACCAGGATGTCTCTGTGATTACAAAGTAATGCTTCACAGAAGCTGATAAAAGGGTTTGAGGTTGACTGGAGAAAAGTACAGTTTTTGTTTATTTGTTCCTCACTAGAAAAAAAAATCAATATCTGGTTGAGATCCTACTTAGTCAAATAATGTATATTTGATGTGTGTGTGTGTGTGTGTGTGTGTGTGTGGTCTCATTGTAATTAGGTTTAGTCATATTAAATTACCTAATAAAACATTTTTACAGTGCCATAAAGTGCTTATAAAGGGCAAAAGGTCATTGTGGATATCTAAGAAGTTAGTCAGAGGTTTAACGTGAATGTCAAATAATCTTTATACTCTGGCAATGATAACAGTACTGCCAGCTAAAGAGCCTCACATAACCACACAATAGAGGGACAGGGATTTAATGGGGAAAAGAGCACTTATCCTCTCGTAATCTCCTCTAATGTAGATTATTATAAAAAAATTTTTAGAGCTAATACTAGAATCTAAAATAAATGCTATCAGTCATATGCATAGGCCTGTCCATGTCTCTCACATTTAGAGCTGATTGCACTGCAAAACAAGAATTTGGATGAGTGGCATTTGAATCATAGCTTGAAGTAAACTGAAGCAAGAGCTTTTCTACCTTTCACTCATGAGGTCTGCCACCCAGGCTGTGTAAATTGGCCTATTCTGAGACCCAGAGAAAAGAGGTTGTGACAGTTCATTGGGAATTTCATTTTTCTGGGTTGTGGAGTGAGATATATATAACACCCGTATTTTTCACCATCCTGACACCTTTGCATCATGTGGAAGCCTTTTTCTCACAGTCTTTTGGAATTCAGCCTCTGGTCAAAACCAACTTTTCTATTGTGTGTTTTTGATCACCTACTAATGCAATAAATGCTTATTTAAACAATATAATGTGTGATTATGTCAGCTCAATGGAGGAAAAAGAGACCAAGGATCGGAGTGATAGAAAGAAATGCCTTCTGCATTGGTACAGGTTCATCCCAGGCAACTGTCTTGGCCTGTTTAAAAGCGTGAGGTAAACCGAGGGCATGCTTGAAATGGAGATGTCTGAAGAAAGGCATTGTGTTTGAATCATAAAACCTGCACTGCATTTTATGCGTGAGAGACTTTATCTACAGAACGTGCTGCACTGTTTTAGAGAGCAATAAAGATGTAAAATATACAATCTGGTTGCTGTCATTTGCCCCAGCTGCTTTGTGTTCTCACAATTTAAAACAGTTCTTAAAACTTTTGTCAAGGAAATAAATAAATGCATTGTGCGTGTTTATATATTGAATGAGGTACAGGAATATATTTGCAAGAATTTGTCTTAAGTTAACGGAATGTGAGTTTTGAATTTTTGCTTCCCAGGACTGCAGAGGCTTTGTTGTTTCAGCAAAAAGAGACAGAGCAGTTTGAAAAACAAACAATAAAGGAATAGTTTGATTTGATGTGATTTTCAAACACTCTATTGTAGGAAACCAGAAGAACTGCTATTACTATTGATATTTTATGAATTAATTAATTAATCATTTATATAGCGCTTTTTATTGTGTATTGCTGTACACCCAAAGTGCTTTACAATCATATGGGGGGATCTCTCCTCAACAATCACCAGTGTGCAGCATCCAAAGTACAACGGCGCCAGTGCACTCACCACACACCAGCTACAGGTGGAGAGGAGAGAGAGATAGAGCCAATTCAGTGGATGGGGATTATTAGGAGGCCATGATTGACAAGGGCCAGCGGAGGGAATTTGGCCAGGACACCGGAGATACACCCCTATTCTTTAGAAGAAGTGCCATGTGATTTTTAATGACCACAGAGAGTCAGGACCTCGGTTTAACGTCTCATCCGAAAGACAGTGCTTTTTACAGTATAGTGTTCCCGTCACTATACTGGGGCACTAGGACCCACACAGACCACAGGGTGAGCACCCCAAGCTGGCTTCACTAGCCTCTTCCAACAGCAACCTAGTTTTCCCAGGAGGTCTCCCATCCAGGTACTGACCAGGCTCAACCCTGCTTAGCTTCAGTGGGCAAACAGTCTTGGGCTGCAGGGTGATATGGCTCTTATAATGTGAAAGAAAGCATGCCAAAAGTGAAAAGTACAGTAAGTTATACAGGTCAAGGTTCATGCAACAAGAAAACACTCCACCAAAGCTCTCAAACAGCATTCAGAAATGTACACTATTGTTCAAACGTTTGTGTCAGTAAGATTTATTATTATTATTATTATTATTATTATTATTTCTTTTTTTCAATTATTTCTTTTTTATGTTTTTTTTATTATAAATTAATAGTTTTTTATTTACAGCATCATTAGTGCATTAAATTGATCAAAAGTTACAGTAAAGAAATGTTTCTTAAGCACCAAAGCATCACTTAAAATTCAGCTTGGCCATCACAGGATAAACTATATTTTAAAACTGAAAACAGTTATTTTAAATTGTAATAATATTTCACAATATTACATTTTAACCCCAAATTTCCATATGCATATTCAAACTTAGAAGAAAATGCATCACAGCAGGTTAGATGTCAGTGATGCCAAATGCAGCCAATTCATGTCTTGTAACAACTGCAACACAGCAAGGTTGAATAAGCAGGAGCTTGAATGAGATATGATATTTTCAGTGAATAAATTTTGGTCTGTTAAATATTGTATGGATTCAAAACTGATAATTTAACGTTGCTTTTTTTCTTTTTTTTTTCTTTTTTCTTTTTTTTTTGTTCTAGGTCACTAGAATATATTTTGATTTTCATAAAACAGACCAGTGTTACCAATCTTCAGAACTCATCTCCTTAAGTGTTCCATGGAAGAAAAAACGACAGGCAGGTGGATAAATGATGACAGAATATTCATCTTTGGGTGAGTTATAACTGTAATTTTTTTTTTTAAATTGTAGTTTGTAGTTGACAGGTTTGACTTGTTTAAGAACATTGTGGCAAAGCATGTTTTTATAGTGCAAATAAGATTTTTTTTCATTTGGAAATAATTCTTGGAAAATGTTCAGTGTTGACGATAAATACCAGCCATTTGCCATGCTCCAAGACTGAACCTGCAGCTTACCAGTAGAAAATAATTTTCCAGAGGCTTCTAATCTGTTGTTAAGTTGTTTTCTCAGAATTCTGACCTCTCAGTAAAATTGTTCTACATCAGACGGTAGAGCACTTAACCTAATGATGCAAAGCAGCTTTTTGTGAAATACCACTGGAAAAACACCCACAGACCAGCCAGTCTCAGTCTATTCGTTCAGCTCTGTGTGTTTCAGCGAAGAGTGATGTAGACTATCCGTTTCTCCAGAGAGGTCTAGTTGAGCTGTCTGGAAATTGGCTTGTTCTGCTGACCTTTTGCTTTGATTAATGCACCCAGTAAAATTGTTCTACATCAGACGGTAGAGCACTTAACCTAATGATGCAAAGCAGCTTTTTGTGAAATACCACTGGAAAAACACCCACAGACCAGCCAGTCTCAGTCTATTCGTTCAGCTCTGTGTGTTTCAGCGAAGAGTGATGTAGGCTATCCGTTTCTCCAGAGAGGTCTAGTTGAGCTGTCTGGAAATTGGCTTGTTCTGCTGACCTTTTGCTTTGATTAATGCACCTGTGCTGCCCCACTTCATTGGTGGTTAAAACTCCTCGACCGCAAAGCACGGATGTGATGGGCTCTTTCCCGTTGGCCCTGTCTCATACTGAGGGACCTGATATTCATCTAATGCAGTTATGTTAGAAACTCACTGGAAAGCAGCACGCTAACAATAACCACTTTTTATCCCCTCTTTATCGTAAAACGCTAAGTGCTTTTTCACAGATACAACAAATGATTAAAAGAAGTGTGCGGAACATCTGTTAAAAGGCACAATGATTTGGGCTAGTGTGTAAGAGGATTTGTGAAAAAAATAAAGGCTTTAAACATCTGATTAACAGCTGTGTCTGATTCTAAGTGCTCGGAGGAATATTCCTCATTCCTGGATAATCCTGTTGATCTGACCCTGATAACGTGAAATATTTACAGAGCTCACAAGGCAGCACTGTATTGATATTCTGCATATAGGGTTTGTTCTGATGCAGTGTCACTAACCTCTCTTTTTCCCCTCATAGATATATTCCAGATATATATACAATTATTAACTTTTAAAGCTGGCTTGAAATGGAAAGATGAGTCAAAGACTTGTAGAGGTCCGGTAAAATGGCATGGTTGCATCAGAAAGTGTTTTTTTTCACCTTTGGGTCTACACTCTTAAAAATAAAGGTGCTTCAAAAGGTTCTTCAAGCGATGCCATAGAAGAACCATTTTTGGTTCCACAAAGAACCATTCAGTCAAAGGTTCTTTAAAGAACCATCTCTTTCTTACCTTTTTGTAATCTGAAGAACCTTCTTTCGCCACAAAGAACCTTTTGTCAAACAGAAAGGTTCTTCAGATGTTAAAGGTTCTTTATGGAACCATTTAGACAAAAAGGTTCTTCTATGGCATCGTGAAGCACCTTTATTTTTAAGAGTGGTGGTACGTTAGTTTCAAATGTGATAGAGCATTAACCTTATAGCGCCACTCACCGGCCATTTTCTTTCCGAACTGCTGTGATATGTAAAACAACCAAAGTAATAAAGCGTTGCCCAGATTCATGTAAAATTTGATTTGAATAAAACGGGAAAACACTTTTAATGCCATTCACTTGACTTTTCGTTTTGAAAGTGTGAAATGTGCAAGAACCGAAGTAATATAATTTTCCAACATTGTCGCCATAGGCACGTTTTTCCAATCAGATACTTTTCCAATATTTTCTAAATATATCTTATTGTGAACAATTCATCCATGCATTTTTCTTTTTATTTGTTTTGACCTCATAATTTTTTAGCAAAATGTCATAACTTAGTCTTCTAGCGAAACAGAAGACCTCTCTCTGGTGACATTCTGTAGGCTATACCAGAATTTTAGTCTGCAATAATTTAGTCCACTTAAACTCCACACCTTTCTTACAATCGACCCAAAGTACTCTTTCTGAATCAACAACCAAAACATAGAGCTAAGTCCCTGCCCTACTTTTTTTTTCTTGTCCAATAATCTATTTCACTCAGATGTAGAGTATGTCACAATACAGAAGAAAAGATCTGCCGCTATCCATTTCATCTTGACTTTAATATTGGCTTGACTGAATGAGATGGGTATTCCCATTTTGTAATCAGCGATTACAGGTTTTTGAATGAGCAATTTAAATTTTTTATCCTGTTTCAATTATTTTAATCTTTTGACAGCCCTAATACTTTCATTTTACAGTCATTATTTCTATTTCGTTTGTAGGTTTAACGAGGCAAAATCTTTCAAAGGACACCTGAAACCTAGGGGTATCGATAAAACTCCAACGGTAACACTTTCGTTTAGGGACTAATTCTCACTATTAACTAGTTGCTTATTAGCATGCATATTACTAGCATATTGGCTGTTTATTAGCACTTATAAAGCACATATTAATGCCTTATTCTGCATGACCATATTCTAGACCCCTTAACCCTACCCTATACCTAAACATAACAACTACCTTACCAACACTTAATAAACAGCAAATTAGGAATTTCTTGAGGCAAAAGTCATAGTTAATAGTTAATTAATAGTGGGAATTGGACCATTCAACTAGAATTCAACTAATTCAGCCCAAACTGCTTGATATAAACTTCATTCAAGATCATTATAGCAGACCAGGTAAGCTACAGCTGTGGTCAAAAGTTTACATACACTTTGCAGTATCTGCAAATTGTTAATTATTTTACCAAAATAAGAGGGATCATATAAAATGCATGTAATTTTTTATTTAGTACTGACCTGAATAAGATATCTCACATAAAAGACGTTTAGATATTGTGCACAAGAGCAAATAATAGTTGAATTTATAAAAATGACCCCATTCAAAAGTTTACATACACTTGATTCTTAATACTGTGTTGTAGTGCATTTTTCTGGATTGTCCCTCGTTTTTTTTTTTTTTTTTTTTTTTTTTGTCATGTTATAGTTGTTCATGAGTCCCTTGTTTGTCCTGAACAGTTAAACTGCCCACTGTTCTTCAGAAAAAAATCCTTCAGGTCCCACAAATTCTTTGGTTTTATAGCATCTTTTGTGTATTTGAACCCTTTCCAACAATGACTGTATGATTTTGAGGTCCATCTTTTCACACTGAGGACAACTGAGGGACTCATACGCAACTATTACAGAAGGTTTAAACTGTGACTGATGCTCCAGAAGGAAAAATGCCAGGGGGTGTAAACTTTTGAACAGAATGAAGATTTGTTTTAACATTATTCTTTTGCAATATATATATATTGATATTAGAAGCCAGTCCGTTTTTTCCAACAAGTATCTCAAACCAGAGTGAAGTTTAAGACCTTCTGCCCTGGACATTAGATAAGATCACTCATGTTAGATTAAATGCACAAATACACCTGAGCTGGACAAGTTTGGAATCCAATTACCTGCAGTGCAATTTCCAAATTGGATTCACCTGACTAGAGACTCCATATATAGGACTACTGCCCCTTCAAATTACCCAGCCATCCTGTCTCTGGTGTCGGCTAGAAGACCAGAATTAGGGACTCAGGAATGGATAATCTTGTTTGCTTTTTCCTCTCTTGTATTATGACAAATTAAAGAGGTCTGAAAGCCATATTTCTCAGAGTGCCTCCTTAGCTTGTTATTACCTAACAGAATGAGGAATTGATTAGTATTGATTTACTGTCACGCATTCACTCGGTTGCGGTAAGACCGGCAAGGACCTGGACTAAAGGTGAACTCATGTTCTGGTTAAAGTATCAGACCACGGAAAAATAAAATTAGACTTCATTCACATCTCTTGTACTAGGACTTTTGCTCATGGATACCATTTACTGGAGGTCAAAGCTGAAGGGCAAAAGTTCTTTGTTTTTTGACCCTACCAACAGTTACGGCATTCAGTGATGTTCGATTGGTGAATATGCTCTCAAATAAAGGCTTTTTTGCCATCTAAACCTTTTAAAAAGCATATCTGCAAGAGTAGTGAGTCTTTGCCAGAGAATGTAAGGTGAGCAAGGTTAGACTGTATAATTCTCTTCGGCTGAAGTTCAGTGGCTCAGACATGTTCCCCTCTGGCCTTATAGGAAATGAAGACAGCATTTATTGTCCAAATTCCTGTCAGCTCTCTCTGATCCTCCAGCTAAGATAGGAGATACGGTCTGTTAGCCATTAGAGACTTTTTTGTGAATTTCGGTTCCAATTTTGGCTGTGTTTTTTGTTGTTGTCATGGCGACAGGATGAGTGGGTTTTTAGGGAGCATTCTCTAGTAAACAAACCATTCCCTCTGGTTCAGTGTGGTGGGTAAGTGTGGAACGGTGATGTTTTGAGATGTACGAACACAGATGGTGATGGATACGAACAGGCTGATGAAGGTAGCATGAATTCTCATTTCCTTTTCATTACCAGGGCATACGAGGTAAAAAAAAAAAAAAAAAGTAATTTCCACTTTCTTGGAGCTTTCTTACGCTCCACTTCTTTAAAGAAGGTGGAATGAAACAATGGGTTGTGAACATCATTTATTGCATGGGTAATCACCATGAATGTGTTTTTATTTCCCTCTTTCTTTTCTTTTTTGCAGGCTGTGCATGTATGCTCTTGGAAATCATCTGTTCTTGAACATTATCATGGCTTGACACAAGATTCCATTTGGATTACCACACAAATTTTTTATTTGCTGAGCTTTTAATATCTGTAAAGACTATACATGAGATTTATGACTGCTTATTTGGCATTATGGTTGGTTTAATTCCAGTCCAACCATTCCAGTAATGGATTGGAATGCCTTGTGGTTGGATCCCAGTGGATTCCACAACTCAATCAAGGGTAAGTAACGTAGAACGCTACACTAATGTTCCCTATCGAGGGAAGTACTCTACTTCTCGTGGAAACAAACATGTTTTATCACAAATTAGATTATATTTAGGCCAAGCGTTCAAGACTAAGTCTAGAATGAATTGTTTTATGGAAATGAACTCCTGTCGGTATGTTTTAGAATCTAACTGGAGCTAATACGTTCTTAAACAAATGAACAAGCCTGAACGATTTTAGCGAATATATTCAGTTTGTCAGTAAAATGCAGGCTTAATGCATATTGCTTTGGCTCTTTTCCCTTACATGCATCTAAATAAATGGTTCCACTTTGCGGTAAGTTTCACACTCATTAGGGTTCTCTTTGATCCGGAGTTCTTTGTAGTTTTACCACTTTTAAAGTGTATTGTTGTGTAATACGCACATGAATTCATTATTGGGACCCTTATATGGTGTCTGCGGTGGAAGATATTTTGATATTCAAGTGGTGCCTCATTATTGATTTCCTTCTTGGCTTGCATTGCACATGGGCTGTTCAGTTAATGTGGCCTTTAGAGGAGAAAAGCACTGCTAATGATACACAAACAAGCTTGTAGGTCATATTATGTCAAATGATCTTGATGGATTTTACACGAATATGCCTGCAGAGCGCAAATATACGAGCATTAAAGATGAAACAATATACATAATTGGTCCCTGGCGATCACATCTGATCACATCCTCATCAGCTTGTGCTAAAATGAGTTGTTCGGTCATGTTGGGGCTAGCAGCTCTGAAACTCCCCAAGCGATCTGTTTGAATGGTTTATCACAAACAGAACTCAATGATTTTTGAGAAATAGATATGTTGTGCATAAAACTTTTGCAGAGTTCATCTTATTGTAAAATGTGTGAAGATTTTCTGCACGTCAGAATGCAAGAGTGCAAAAGTGAAAACATATCCAAGTCACATTTCTCCCCAAATAAAAATAAGGAAAGGATTGTGAAAAATTAACTGGTCAGTGCAAAGGAAAAGTGCAAAGTCTTTTCACTCAAACTGCAGTCAGTCTGTAGTTATTGAAAAACTTATACCAACCGTACCAACGATTATTGGTACCAATATTATAACCTTTGTTGAATGGAAATAATAAACTTAATTTCCTGTAGTTATTTATTTATTTTTGTACCATTTATAAAATATATTTGCAAATAATTTGACTATTTTTTTATTTAAATCATCAATTACAGGCAGTACAACAAATACTGCTGTAATATATAGTATAAATACTTCACAATTTGAATTAGTCGTTTTCCACACTACATGATTTATTTATTTATTGCCTCTGAATAATGAAAAGAGGGTGGCTGCTTAAAGGGATAGTTCATCCAAAAATGAAAAATAATTCTGTCATCATTTACTCACCCTCAAGTTGTTCCAAACCTTAATGAGTTTCCTTTTTTCTTCTTCTTCTCCATACTATGGAAGTCAATGGGGACCAGCAACTGTTTGGTTACCCACATTCTTCAAAATATGTTCTTTTATTTTCAACAGAAGAAAGAAACTCATACAGGTTTGGAACTACATGAGGGTGAGTAAATGATGACCGAATTTTCATTTTTATAGGTTAACTATCACTTTAAGTAGCAAGACAATAATATTACAATAATGTCAGTAATTCAGCTCATAAATGGTATTTATTTCACCTTGACTAAAGATGGATCTCCCAGGACCTCTTGAAGTCTTTGTATTCTATGGCCCACAATGACCCTCTTCTTGTGTGATCCATACATTATTAGAGAGCATTCACCCTGTATCCAACCCTTTCATGTTAACGTCCTTCTAAATTATTTATCTTTTGTCCTCCCTCTCTCTCTACCTCTCTCATTTTTTTTCCTCCTCTCGCACACAAATCAAAGGCTTTTTCCCAGGGGACATTCTGTGACTTACAAGCTACCTTCTCTATATTGTTGTGGCTGGGGGTTTTCTGTGACACATTGCCAACACATTAAGCTTTCTTTAGGACAGCAGACTTCAGTGGCTCTGTTATTGCATGCCCGTTTAGTGATAAAACATGTGTAGTGCTATTACTGAGAGAGATGCAGAACTACATCTGAATGCAGAACACAAACATCCTTATTGCCACTCACACTTCCTCCCTCAAAAACAGGTCAGTGGGATAGCACAAGAGTCATTGGTGTGCTGCCCCATATTGGTTGGGATCTTTCAAAGTTCAAGTCTTTTCTTATCATATTCTGGGGTTTAAATACACAGTGATATTAACATGAGAGTTTTGTAGCTTTGAGTCCATGTGTGTTAGCTTTGAAGACCATAGTTTTCAGTTGTGGCTTATATAAATCATATGGTCTATTACAGAAAGAAACTGTACAAGCCAAAGTTCCTGTTTCAACACGAAATACTATATGACAGAGAACTGTGTGAACTTGTTATGCATTCACATGATCTTTAAAAGCTTTTGGTAACTGAGCAATTTTATTTGAAGTGTTAGCAACAATATTTTATAACAGTGAAGCTGAATCGTGTTCAAATGTTGAATCAGCGCTCAATTCCTTTTCTCGAATTCCAGTGCAAATCTGTCTGACAAAAGAAACAAAAACCTGCTAATCAGGATTTTTATTAGGCCTCATTTACATTGCAGGTCTTGATGCCCAATTCTGATTTGTTGCCTATATCCGATTTTTTTTGGCTGTCCGTTTACACGTTCTTTCAATTGTGACCCATATCCGATTCATGTGTTTACACTTGCCATACCATCTGAAACATCGCGCATGCGTTGTTGTCATTTACCGCCTCAACATGTGCTTCCATCTGAGACTAATGTGACCTGTGCTGACAAAACGAGTCACAATGAGCAATTAAAAAAAAATACATTCTCCATTAAAAGACCTTCAAAATTATGATTTGTTGGAATCGGACAAAAAATGACTGAACTACACCCGTTTGAAGTCCATAGAGTGAAATCATCCGTCTTTTCTTATTATTAATTACTATATTAATAATCACAATACAGCTATTTTTTAAAAAAAAAAAAAAAAAAGTAATTTCCACTTTCTTGGAGCTTTCTTACGCTCCACTTCTTTAAAGAAGGTGGAATGAAACAATGGGTTGTGAACATCATTTATTGCATGGGTAATCACCATGAATGTGTTTTTATTTCCCTCTTTCTTTTCTTTTTTGCAGGCTGTGCATGTATGCTCTTGGAAATCATCTGTTCTTGAACATTATCATGGCTTGACACAAGATTCCATTTGGATTACCACACAAATTTTTTATTTGCTGAGCTTTTAATATCTGTAAAGACTATACATGAGATTTATGACTGCTTATTTGGCATTATGGTTGGTTTAATTCCAGTCCAACCATTCCAGTAATGGATTGGAATGCCTTGTGGTTGGATCCCAGTGGATTCCACAACTCAATCAAGGGTAAGTAACGTAGAACGCTACACTAATGTTCCCTATCGAGGGAAGTACTCTACTTCTCGTGGAAACAAACATGTTTTATCACAAATTAGATTATATTTAGGCCAAGCGTTCAAGACTAAGTCTAGAATTAATTGTTTTATGGAAATGAACTCCTGTCGGTATGTTTTAGAATCTAACTGGAGCTAATACGTTCTTAAACAAATGAACAAGCCTGAACGATTTTAGCGAATATATTCAGTTTGTCAGTAAAATGCAGGCTTAATGCATATTGCTTTGGCTCTTTTCCCTTACATGCATCTAAATAAATGGTTCCACTTTGCGGTAAGTTTCACACTCATTAGGGTTCTCTTTGATCCGGAGTTCTTTGTAGTTTTACCACTTTTAAAGTGTATTGTTGTGTAATACGCACATGAATTCATTATTGGGACCCTTATATGGTGTCTGCGGTGGAAGATATTTTGATATTCAAGTGGTGCCTCATTATTGATTTCCTTCTTGGCTTGCATTGCACATGGGCTGTTCAGTTAATGTGGCCTTTAGAGGAGAAAAGCACTGCTAATGATACACAAACAAGCTTGTAGGTCATATTATGTCAAATGATCTTGATGGATTTTACACGAATATGCCTGCAGAGCGCAAATATACGAGCATTAAAGATGAAACAATATACATAATTGGTCCCTGGCGATCACATCTGATCACATCCTCATCAGCTTGTGCTAAAATGAGTTGTTCGGTCATGTTGGGGCTAGCAGCTCTGAAACTCCCCAAGCGATCTGTTTGAATGGTTTATCACAAACAGAACTCAATGATTTTTGAGAAATAGATATGTTGTGCATAAAACTTTTGCAGAGTTCATCTTATTGTAAAATGTGTGAAGATTTTCTGCACGTCAGAATGCAAGAGTGCAAAAGTGAAAACATATCCAAGTCACATTTCTCCCCAAATAAAAATAAGGAAAGGATTGTGAAAAATTAACTGGTCAGTGCAAAGGAAAAGTGCAAAGTCTTTTCACTCAAACTGCAGTCAGTCTGTAGTTATTGAAAAACTTATACCAACCGTACCAACGATTATTGGTACCAATATTATAACCTTTGTTGAATGGAAATAATAAACTTAAATTCCTGTAGTTA